CTGCTCACCTGGTTCCTTCGCAAATAAACTTTACTGTCTACAATAGATTCCCAGCTTTTCATTTCTATACTAAGCTGAGGAAAGAACCCACTAGGCCATTCTGGTAACAATTTTAAGATTTTTTTATTTTTATTGGAAAGGCAGAAACCCACTAAGCCATTCTGGTAACAATTTTAAGATTTTTAAAATTTTTATTGGAAAGGCAGATTTACAGACAGAAGGAGAGAGAGACAGAAAGATCTTGCATCTGCTGGTTCACTCCTCAAATGGCCATAACAGCTGGAGCTGAGCCAATCCAAAACCAGGAGCCAGGAGCTCCTTCCAGATCTCCCATGTGGGTACAGAGGTCCAAGGACGTGGGTCATCATTGTCTGCTGCTTTCCCAGGCCATTAACAGAGAACTGGATGGGAAGTGGAGCAGCTGGGACATAAACCAGTACTCATATGGGACGTTGGTGCTTGCAAGTAGAGGATTAGCCTATCAAGCCACTGTGCCAACCCCTGATTATTGTTGTTTATGATTTATTTATGTAACTGATGTTGTGGTGTGGTGGGTAAAGCCATTACCTATGTTCCAGCATCCCAAATGGGTGACTGGTTCACATTTAGGCTGCTCCATTTCTGAACCAGCTCCCTGCTAATGTGCCTGGGAAAGCGGTAGAAGTCAGCCCAAGTGCCTAGGCTCCTGCACTCACATAGGAGACCCGAAAGAAGCTGCTGGCTTCAGCCTGGCCCAGCCCCAACCATTGCAGGCATTTGAGGAGTGAGTCAGCAGATGGAAGCTCTGTCTCTCCCTCCACCTTGGTAACTCTGCCTTTCAAATAAATAAAATAAATGTTTTTAAAAGTTTATTATTGGGCCCGGCACGGTGGCGCAGTGGTTAAGGTCCTCGCCTTACACACCCCGGGATCCCATATGGGCGCCAGTTCTATTCCGGCAGCCCCACTTCCCTTCCAGCTCCCTGCCTGTGGCCCGGGAAAGCAGTTGAGCACGGCCCAAAGCTTTGGGAACCTGCACCCGCGTGGGAGACCTGGAAGAGGCTCCTGGCTTCGGATTGGCATAGTATCGGCCGTTGTGCTCACTTGGGGAGTGAATCATCGGATGGAAGATCTTCCTCTCTGTCTCTCCTCTCTGTATATCTGCCTTTCCAATAAAAAAAAAATAATAAAAAATTTTAAAAAGTTTATTATTTATTTATCTGTAAGTAGTCAGAGTTAGAGACAAAGAAAGAAGGGTCTTGCATCTGCTGGTTCACTCTCCAAATGGCTACAATGGCCAGGGTGGGCCCAAGCCAAAGCCAGGAGCTGTGAGCTTCCTCAGGGTTTCCCATGTGGGTACAGGAACCCATGCACCTGAGTCATCTAACACTGCTTTCCCAGGCGCATTAGCAGGGAGCTGGATTGAAAGTAGGGCAGTGATGACTCGAACTGGCACTAATGTGGGGTGCCATAAATGTAAGCAGTAGTTTGACATGTTATACCACTGCACTGGGCCCAAGACTACCTATATTTCAGACACCAATTCAAATCCAGGTTGTTAAGTCCACTTCTGACCAACACACCATAACTGGGGGACTTCTAGCACCACTCTCCAAGTTTAAGCATTTGTTAGAGCAGCTCTCCGAACTCAGGCCAGCAATCCAGTTCCCAGATGATCAGCTTACCATAAGAGGATACAAGGCAGAAGCAGACGGATGGAAGGGATGCATGTGGCAAGGTTTAGGGGCAGAGCGCCCAGTTTCTACTCCTTGTCTCCGCCCAGGGAAGCTCTCATAACCCTATTCTTTGGGGTTTTATGGAGGCCTCATTATGTAGGATGATTGATTGAATCATTGGTCTGATGATTAATTTGTTCTTAGGCCCTCTCCCCTCCCTGGAGGTCTGGGGAAGTGGCCGGGCAGCTCCGTGCCTGTGATCACTGGATCTTGACAAGTAGCACCCCCATACGTCCCACTCCATCACCTCCCCAAGCACCAGGTGTCTCATTAGCATATAAACAAAAACTCAAGATTCCAGGTTGGTTTATTTTTTGTTTTGTTTTGTTTTTTTAGAGCTGTGAGTCAGGGAAAAAATAAATATATATGTTTTTTCCATCATGCCTGAGGTATATGACCTCGTGGAAGACACACACACCTGCCTTTCCCCGCCTCACTCTGCAGTCACAGCGTCCCGCCTTAGCTTCCCACAGCTGACTGGGACACCTTCTGGAGCAGGGGGTACGCAGGAGACTGCCAGCACAGCTGAGCCCCCATCCCTCCCCTCTGGCTTACAGAACCCTTGAAGAGCTCACAGGCCCGGTGAAGGCCCTCGGGCCTCACGCTTAGTGCCAGGAGGGGCAGAGGTGATGCTTGGGCTCCCCTCGTGACTGCCTCTCCCGGGGCCCTACTCAGGGGCGGGGTGACCTGGCCTCTGCACGCCTCGGCTTGCTCACCTGTAAAACAGGGTGTTGCAAATGCGGCTCTACTCACAGGGTTAATGGGGGAGGGACCGAGTGTGGTGACAGCACATGGGATGCCCCGGAAACTTCCGCTGAAACTCTGGTGGTCATCACCACCACCGTCACCTAGGTCTGACCAGACTGGGCATCCACAGAGTCTCTTGCCTCCTTGTTACAGGCAGCCCTGGTGGAGGGACCTGGTCTCTGCAGCCTCACCCCTGGCCCTGGACAAGCACAGCACTTGCCAGAGTGCCTCAGGTCTGAGCTGTCTCCATTCAGTATTTTTGTATAGGAGATTTCATCGTTTTTTCCTCCCTCTTTGTTGCTCCTTCTCTCCCTACTCTCTTCTCCACCATTCACCAGATTTTTTGTTGATTGCATGACTATTTTCATTTACCTGAATTTGTGCAAAAACATGTTGACATGTGCTTTCAGGCAATATCTGTTGATTAAGTGAAGAAATGGTGTATGTGGGAATGAATTACTCTTTAGCATCCTCAGTTGGTATCAAGATCGCCTCCAGAGACCTGCTGTCCAGTAACGGCTTTTGGTTAGAGACCCTGTCCCTTGGCTCATGCCCTGTGCTGCTCTAGGGGAAGCCGGCTTGCTGGCCCAGCCCTGACCACTGCTGGCTCCAGGCTCACCTTGCTCTCTCCTCAGCGCGGGGGCCTCCACTCCAGCCAGAAAACACGCCAGGCTCCCCTGTGCCTCTGGACCTCCCTTCTGGTTAGCTAGAATATAGACCACTCCGCTGGAGCCCGCAAAACTCTCTCTCCTCTCCCAGCATTCTCAATGAAGCTTTTCCTGAGGACGATTCTCTCCTGCCTGCATCTGTCTGCCCCTTCTCCTTGTGGGACCCTGAGTTTTCAGTGTCCCACAACTGCTCGAGTTCCTGGCAAGAAGAAACCATAATGTACCCCCATTTCTGCCTATAGTGTACACAGGGTCCCACAAAGCACAGGTGCTCTGTGTGCTTGTAGAACAAGTGCCTAAATTTACCTTCCCTGATGCATTTTTGTCTGGGCTGCCATGGGAATGGTCATCTCATGCAACTGGTTTTGTCCTGATTGGTTCATTCAGGTATTCCTCTCTTCCTCTGTGGATCGAATTATCCTAACAGCATCAAGGAGTACATTAGGCATCAGATCAAAAAGGCAGGTTCTGATGGAGAGAGGCAGGCACATATAGAGTTTTCTGTTACCGAATGTGCCATCAGCCTTCCTATGGTGGCAGCCCCCCCCCCCCCCGCCAGTGATGACAGAGTTTGGGAAGGGAAGAAGAGGTTTCTCCTAAGGCTCCTATGGGCCAAACCCATCATGGATCCTGGTGCATCTTATAATTTCCTCTGCTCAGCCCTGGCACCTCTCATTCCAGGGAGAAGTACAGGAATAAGAGTTTTGAGGCAGTCTTTTTTGAGATCTTATCCAGGAATTTCCAAGCCTTTGACCGGCTCCCAGCCAGAGCGCATTAGCAAACCTTCCTGGGCAGGGGGACTCCCCAGCTCTCAGGGCCAGAAACACTGCTCAGAATCAGGGGTCTTCCATGTCACCAAGGCCCTTAGGTACTACAGAGCAGCTGAAAAACTTGAGAAGGAACACTTGCTGGGATGCTGGAGTGACAAAAGGTGTTTGTCATGTGGGGAGGTCCAAGAGGATGAGACAGAAGGCCAGACCAGGGTTTAAGAGAAGCATTCTCCCAGCAATGCAGCAAGTGCTTTTTAGATCGTTATATTCTTTTTAAAAAATTACTTATTTTTATTGGAAAGTCAGATCAAATACATGGAGAGAAGGGAAGACAGAGAGAAAGATCTATCCACTGGTTTACTCCCAAATGGTTGCAATGTTTAGAGCTGAGTTGATTCAAACCCAGGAATCAGGAGCATATTCCAGGTCTCTCAATGGGTGCAGGGTCCCAAGGCTTTGGGTCATCCTCCTCTGCTTTCCTAGGCCACAAGCAGGGAGCTGGATGGGAAGTAGAGCAGCCATATGGTGCTTATATGGGATGCTGGACGGGAAGTAGAGCACCATGTATATGGTGCTTAAATGGGATGGTGGGGCTTGGAGGTGGAAGAGTAGCCAGTTGTGCCACTGTGCTGACTCTGATTGCTGAACCGCCCAAGGATAGTAAGGGCTGCAAATGAAGAGAGGACTAAATGAACAAGCCAACAAAGACAAAAGCCAGCTGCCCTAACTGCAGAAGGAAGGGTGAAGAGGCCTGTGTGCAACAAGCTGGCCTGTAGCTCTGCTGCTTTGTAATACACTATATCAGGCACGGTGTTGGGAAGGGAAGGTGAACACCCGGCTGTTCCTTGATGGCTGGTTGGCCATTCATACATGGAGGGCACAGATGCTCTTGGCTCTGGGCAGACATTTTCTGGGATCCGGGATGATGTGGGTCTCTGAGTCTGGGACAATAGCATGGGTTAGTTGTGATGTTCTTCAGGACAAGGTCTTCAGAGTTGCAACGTGATTCTCCCCAGAAGTTGGGCCCTGCCCCCTTGACACCTGACATGGCTTTTGCCTCTCTTTCCCATATCCCACCCCCGGACTTCAACTTCCCTTTTCTGTATCACAGCTCTAGAACCCCAGAATATCAACTGGCAGATTGGCATCAACCGTCAGGCGCATCACACAGACAAGTTCTCCAGCCGGGATCTCATCCTCCGCAGAGGCCAACCCCTGGAAATCTCACTCTCCTTTAACCGCCGTCTGGGCTCTGGCGATAGTCTAGAGTTCACAGTGTCCACAGGTACCTGCTCACTACTCTCCCTACCCCATCACCACTCACAGACCCCACCCCCCAGGAGCCCCAGGGCTACATCTCCTAGCAGGGATGGTAACCACCCTGGATCGCTGGGCTGTGCTCCAGCCCAGCTCTGCCACTGGACACTGTGTGACCTGGGCAAGCAACTGCCCATCCCTGAGCCTGAGAAGCAATGGGGATCTGATCCATGCGGTGTCACCAGCACTGTCACTTGGCACTCCACTGGTGACATCCTACCTCACCTCCACCCCTGGACTCCTGCGGCTGTCTTAGAGCCTGGTCTCTCTCCATGGTCTGACTACCACTCCTTGGTTTTGCAAGGCCAAGCCAGGGTGGATGAGGGGCGGCCTAGGAGGAGGCTAAGAAGGGTGGCCGGTAAGACTTCACGGGGAAAAGGTTGCTCCCTCCTCAGCCAGTAGTGATGTATGGATTCACCAAGGTCGAAGAGAGCCTACAACACTCTAGCACTGTATAAGGCACATTCCTTTGTCCCCCACCACCCACCTTGACATCCCACTAATGAAAACAACCCTTCATGACTTCTCTGGCCCACTGTCTGCACCGGACCAGTGAACTAAAGCTTGTTTTAAGCTGAACTCTATTCTGTGTGGATTTCTGGTTTTGAACATGAACTTGAGCCTTACAGGTTGCCTTTGTCCTCTGCCTCCATCGACAGGGCCTTATCCGTCGGAGTCCACAGGAACGAAGGCCGTGTTTCCTCTTTCCAGTGAGACTAGTCGTGGTGGTTGGAATGCTGTGCTCAAGGGCAGCAACAACAACATTCTCACCATTACCATCTCCACTCCTGCCAGCGCCCCCATCGGCTTGTACACACTCAACACTCAGATCTCCTCCCAGGGCCGTGTCTCCACCGTGACACTCGGCACCTTCATACTGCTCTTTAACCCCTGGCTGCAAGGTAGGTCTCCAGCTGCGCACATAACTTGCCAGCTCTGGCCACGAAGGAGGAGACGAGAAACGGTCCCTATGGTCTCGGGTCAGATGAAGGCCAGTCTGTAGGCTGTGGGAAAAACACAGCAGCAGGTGGAAGTTGGGAGTTCTGGCACTCAGTTTGGGCAGTCACTCCAGTTCTCTGGGTCCTAGAGTCCTTACAAACAAATGCACGTCTTGCTGTTTCTTCCCAGGCTGGCACAGAATGCTGACCGACAGGGACAGTGAGCACAGCCTAATTCTGTGGAGACAGCTTCCAGGGGGTTCTCATCCTCAGGCCCATCCCAGCTTCTCTGTCCAGATCACTGTTCCCACAATAAGAACTGGAAACACTAGGTCCAGAATTGCACTCCCCAGTGGAGGTTGGGGGACAGAAAGCAGGACTCACTCTGGCCCAGTACCAGTCTCGGGAGTGAGGGAGGTACTGACAGCTTGGGTCCCCTGTAAACCTCTAAATCCCAGGTGTCTACTTTTCATATCCAACAGCGGACGATGTCTTTCTGAGTAACCACGCTGAGAGACAAGAGTATGTTGAGGAAGATTCTGGTGTCATCTATGTGGGAAGCACAAACCGAATTGGCATGGTTGGCTGGAACTTTGGACAGGTGAGGCTCAGGATAACATCTGTTCTACAAGAAGTGCTTGGCTGCCTGCTGCACCAAGTGGTGGAAGATCCCACATCAGTTCACCTACGTGCCCAACCCCATCCTGTTCATTTGTTCACAAGGTGTTGATTGACCACCTACTTTGTACCAGGCCCCAAGGTGCACACTGAAGATTTAGAACACAAAAAGTATCCCTTATCCTTGAGAATGTCACAATGTGGTGGGCAAGACAGACACATGTAACCCACCTGAAACAGTAAAGTGGTGCCATGCTATGTGATCAGAAGGCCCAGGAGAGCCACTGAAGACAGTACTGTGGCTTCTCTTATTTATTCCATGTAAAGATGCCACAGACTGCCCTCTGTGTCTCTGATGGCTTTGAAAGCCACACCCTCCACAGCTTTTATTACTTTGAGTGCCCACTGGGTCCACAGAGTTCCTGGGTTTGCTAAGGGTAGCTAACTTTCAGGGATGCCCACAAAATAAATAACAGCATCAGTGGGAAGGACCCTGGCAAGGTGCCTGAGTATCCAGGAGACAGGAAGCAGGTGCATGCTCTCGCCATCTCCAGGCCCCCACCTGTCATCAACCAGAGGGAACTCCTCTCTGTTTAGTGTGTCGGGCATCCCAAGCAGAAGGAAAAGCAAATGCAAAGACCCAAGGAAATAGGAGCTTGGCCTTCTTCACTTAAGAAGCCATGACTTGAAACAATACAGTAAATTTTATCTTTGAAACTGTTCCCTTCCTCCTCCCTCCCCAGCCCCAGGGAATCTAAATAACATGCTCAAGATCACAGTCAGAGCCGGAAGGAAACTTTGAAATGAGCTTGGCCTGGTCCCTCATTATACAGAGGGAAGAACTGAGGCTAGGCCAGCTAAACAGCTTGCTCCAGACACCGCTTGCCATTTCTCTCGTCGTAACACATGGTCTTGTTTTGAACAGTTTGAAGAGGATATACTGAACATCTGCCTCTCCATCATGGATCGGAGTCTGAATTTCCGTCGGGACCCTGCTACAGATGTGGCCCTCAGAAAGGACCCCAAATACGTCGGCCGTGTGTTGAGTGCCATGGTGAGTAACAGGCAAGTGGTAATAACTGGTTGTCACCACATATTGAAGACCAACTCCTGGCTGGGCCCCTGGGCTCCTGTAAACGCCATCTCGTGACAGCCTCACCAAACACAGGTGAGGACTGTGACTGTCCCCATGTTGCCAGTGTGGAACCAGCAGCTCCTTTGGATCTCAGGGCTTGCTTGGGACATGTGATGGGGGAGTGACAGAGGCAGACTGGTCCAGGTCTCTCTGGGTCCAAAGTCCTTCCCTCTGTCTCATGAGGCCTTTCTCAGACAAGAAAGGAGACTAGCCCTTTGTGGAGACCATCAGTGAGGGGTTGGGGCAAGGCCAAGCCTCTGCTTTGGGGTGGGGCCTCCTGGAGTCTGGGGGCAAGGGGTGGTACTCCCCCCTGGTGCCTCTGAGACCCTGAAGCGGTCTTGGCCTTTGCTTTACTTACCCTATTCGTGGTCTAGATAGGCTAACAAGTTCAAGTTAATGAAGTTAGCAGCTCAGCGCACAACATCCCATGAGTCAAACTGGGCCCACAGTACTTGTACATGGCATGCACACATATACACACATGCATGGCATGCAGACACACACGTGCACACACACACGCACACACACCACACAGCAGGGTGAGTGCTCACTTCTGAGAAAAGGCAGCCCTCAAAATCTGCAAACTCAAAAGGAACCTGCCCCAAATTTCCATGTTAAAAAGCTCAAAACCAGTTCTTTCTTTGTAATCCTCTTAAAACAAAATAATTACCTGGCTGTGTAAGCTTAAGGCTTTTGTTATTACTGTTCCTAGTTTAGGCATTTCTTGGCCTCTTTACTTTCGAGTTGGAAATTTTCCAAATTGACAAGTGAGCTCCTAGGTTAGAATTTGGAGCCATCTCTCAGTAGCAGATGATGCGTATCTGAGATTAAACAGGAAGCTTTTTAGAAGAAGGCTGAGTGTGAAACCAAGACTTGTGGGACAGGTGTGGGACAGGCCCAGAACACACAAGGGCCCTGAAGAACTTGGAGAGGCCCAGAGAAAGTGAGGAGACCATGAAAGCCAAGTGGCCTTGGAATGACAGTGGAGGCGGGACAGAGGTTAAGTGAAGCAGCTCCTGGCAACTTAGGAAGCCAAGCCTCCCCCGCTCAGGAGAGAGTGGGAGAGGCTGGCTCCTGCACCTGCTGACTCACTCAGCCAGGGGCCAAACCACTTTATCTTGGAGCCAGTTTCCTGGGCTGCGCCTCCCTGATGCTCGCTAGCCCCAGACCTCCCAGTTGGGCAGGGCCCTGAGCTAATTGTGGCCTGTGCAGGGCTTTGAACGGCTCAGCTTGCAGCCAGAGATGACCCGGGCCGATTACCACTTGGAGGCAGGAGCATTTGTGACTCAGGAGACAGGGAGAGGCTGTGCAATCTTCCATCTCGGAGGAGGAGACCTCATCTTGCCTGCTCCTGTCATTGCAAACTAGGCCCTTCTGAAAGGGGTGCCAAGCTCATTGCCAGTCTGATGGGCCAGGGAGGGACCAGCCAGTTTGCAGCCTGCCCCTCTTATGGGCTGAGCCACTCAGATGCTCCAGAGAAAGTGAGAGACAGAGACAGAGAGAGAGAACAGTTTCTGGAGCCCTGGGAGAGCCTGGTTCAGGTCCTCTCTGTGCAGCTGGGATAAATGACGCAGTTTCACAGCCTCTGGAAATGTGCCCACTGGAAGCCGCCCTTAAACTCACTTGTATCTCACTTTCCCCATGTTGGCAGGTAGAGCTACTATGGCCCACCAGACAGGTGAATGGACTTGACCATGACGACGAATGACAAGGCAGGGCAGGCGTGTAACCTGAGTTTCCCCTTGATTTCTTTTTTAACTTTGTATTATACAGAAGTTGAGACATCCAGAGTAGAAAAAGAAGTAAAATAAATGTGTAGGTAGCTGTCGTCTGCTTCAGCCATTCTCTGCCCAAGGCCAAGCTCCTCTCATCGCCCACCCATCATTTGATAAGTCTCATCCACTGCATTAGTTGATATCTTCCTCTCAAAAGCCTTTCAGGATGTATCTCCCCAAGACAATGGAAGTCAGATCTTGAGCACAGCCACTTTTTCTTCCCCTCTGCTCCCTCTCCATCTCTCGACCTGGAACTACAGAACAGCAGGGTTTATAAAGGCAAGCACCACAAACCTGGAGGGGTTCTGGGGCACTTAGCTAATACGCGGTGCTAATGCAGAACTATCTTAGGGATGAAAAATTACCCATCACTCACTTTGAAGCCTCTGCTGCTATACCAGATAAGTTTCATTTTTTTCCTAGTCATGCTTAGACAGCCCAGCTAGGTGTTCAAGCTTCCTTGCCAAGCAGGATGAAGCTTTCTTGGTCTGGTTAGTCTCACAAATGGGAGGGACATCTCACCTAAGATGGAGCCCATCTCAACATGGAGTCCCTCATCTCAAGCCTGTTACTTCACAATCAAGCACGGTGCCTCAGGAAAAGCACCTCTAAGGGATTATTGTTCAAATTGCCAGACCCGAGTCACCTACCAAGAAGTAGAGAAGTACCCGCCACTGTCCCTGGCTTCCCAGCTGCCCATGCTATTCTCTAAATTCTGCCTGGGAAAGGCATGGTACTGATTCACTTCTGGGGTGGGGTGTGTGTGTGGATTTCTGTGTAGATCAATAGCAATGATGACAACGGTGTGATTGCTGGAAACTGGAGCGGCAATTACCCAAATGGCCGGGACCCAAGGAACTGGAATGGCAGTGTGGAGATCCTCAAGGAATGGAAAAAGTCTGGCTTCAGGCCGGTCCAGTATGGCCAGTGCTGGGTCTTTGCTGGTGTCCTCAACACAGGTACCTTGGGCATGGTGTGCCTTTGCTGGGTGCGTGGGCAGTGCAAGGCAGGGGAGGGAAGACACCAGTGTCCCATGTCCATTGCGGCCCAAGTCCTCACACTGACCCTGATTTGCAGTGCTACGGTGTCTGGGGATTCCCTCCCGGGTGATCACCAACTTCAACTCAGCTCACGACACAAACCGCAATCTCAGCGTGGATGTGTACTATGACCCCATGGGCAACCCTCTGGACAGAGGGAGCGACAGCGTGTGGTAAGTGTCTCATCCTCACCTTGAACTCAGAGTAGCCGCTTGCTGTCACCATTTACCTGGGACCCTCACAGGAAGAGGAAGCCGAGATGTGGCTTAGAGTAGGAAGGCTGACCATGACATTGACACATCTGGCAACACCTGCTGGGTCAAGCCTTGGGGCAGTGGTGGGCTCACTGTCCCAGGGGATGGTCTTAGACTAGTTAAGGACATAGCTCACCAGCCTAAGGAGACCATCCTGAGTTCCTAAGATTCATTGGTCTTCATAGTGTTCTGTAAGGTGAAAGTCAAAACATCGATTTTTCAGTGAAGAGTACAGATTTATCTCATTCCAGGCTATCCATTTGACTTCAAGGCTTTTTGTTAAAGACAATAAGAAAAGCAATGTATGTTTCTCTTGGTGCATTCATAATTATCTGTACATAGGCTGACAGAATGGAAAGCTGTGGGTTTTTTCTGGATTCTAGAAGAAAGTAAGATGTATATGTGTGCGAGCATACCTGAAGTCACTTCAAAAAATCTATGAAAAAAAGGAAGTTAAAAGATAGTTTGTTGTTGTTGTTGTTGTTGTTGTCTTGGTGCAAAACACTTTTGGAATCCACGTCTAGTTTTTTGAGCATACACATTTTCTGTGAGTTGTTTTGAAGATCCCTTGTATATTTCTAACATGAAATATGTCTTCTGCTCATATACCTGTGCACACAACATATATAACTAACAACAGATGCCAACAAAAACAAGTTATGTAAAACTTATATACCTATAACCACACCCAGCAGTATGCATACTTCAGAATAGATAGCATTACACTATTTAACATTATACCATATGCCCAATGGAAACTGAAAATGATGTCCAAGACCATAGCTATGTAGGCATATCTGTGAGCCTACACATAGGAAGTGTTGCAAACATATGTTAATAATCCATTTGAATTCATTTCATAGATTACACACACAAAATAATTGCTGACGTGTGTGGGTGGCTAGGCAACTTACAACAGATAAGCATCGTATTTCCAGATGTTTGGCTTTAAGATGGTATCTATAAAATAGTCTTCCTTACTTGCAGAATAGGAGGATCCAACTTCCCTTTGCAATGTACTTAGTATAAGTGATGGAATAAATGAACGATGGAAGGAATTTGACAGAAAAGCCATCAGAGAACAACTCCATGCCAACAGCTAAGCTGAAGGAGGCCTTACATCATCTACACAGGGTTCCTGAAGGAAAGAAGGATTAGCTTAAGGCTTTCTTTATTTTTTAAGATTTATTTTATCTATATGAAAGGCACAGTTAACAGAGAAAGAAAGAGAGCCTGTCTCCAGATTCACTCCCTAAATGACTGCATCAGCTAGAGATAGGACAGCCCGAAGCCAGGAGGTCTGCCATGTGGTTCAGGGACCCAAGAGCTTGGGCTCTTTCCCCAGCATGTTAACAGGGAGTTGGATCAGAAGTGGAGTAGCCAGGACTGAAAATAGCACTCATCTGGGATGCTAGTATTACAGATGACAGTTTTATTCACAAAGCCAACCTCCTTTTTCTTTTCTTAGAAAAAAAATATTTTCATTTTATTTGTAAAGAAGAGAGATCTTCCGTCCATTGTTCACTCCCCAAATGGCCACAACAGCCAGGGCTGGGCCAGGAGGAAACCAGGAGCCTAGAATCCAAGTGCTTGAGCCACCCCAGGTTGCACATCAGTAAGAAGCTGGCTAGGGAGTGGATTACCCAGGATTCAAACCAGGTACTCTGGTATGGGATGTACTAGTCCCAAATGGTGCCTCAATCATTGAACTAAATGCTCACCACAGAATTTTCCTTCTTGATCTGCACACACATGACTTTCTTTAGAGACACTGCTGCATGTGGCAAGGTTTTGTTTTCTAGTTTCTCCTAGGGCATGCTTCTTTTGGTCCCTAGCCTTTGCTTTAGTTGTGGTGTCTGAAATCCATGGCAACCAGTTCTGACTGCTGGGGTGATGCTACCCTTTGTCTTAGTTTCCTTTGCTATGGGAAGTGACTGATTAAATAAGATGACTGGCCAGTCAGGGAGAGGTCCCCTTGACACAACCCTTCCATGATTAACCTTTCACACTTGGAACTGCAGGGAGCCCAGACAATTTAAGTCTCGGTCCCTCTACTGAAAGCATGATGCTCCTAGAGGGTAGGGAAGCCATTAGTGGATGCTGTTTTAGCCCAGAATCGCATCAGGGTCTCCCATCTGGGTGTCAGAGACCCTACTACCTGAGCCATCATCCACTGCCTCCCAGGGTACACATTAGCAGGAAGCTGGGCTGGAAGCAGAGGTGGAACTTGATCCCAGGCACTCTGATACAGAATGTGGGCATCCCAAGCAATGGTTTAACGCATTGCACCATCATGCCAACCCCAGGGGCTTTCAAGCTGAGTTCGGTGTCAAATCCCAAGTCTCCTAGTTACTGCTTCATGTTGCCACCCCACATCAGCTTAATCATTAATTAGGAATATGAATATTTTGGTGACAAGTATGAGCTGATGGAGATGCTCCCGAGAGGCTCCACGGATATTTCTGTGGGCCTCATTGGAGAGTGCCAGCTCTAGAAGCTCCAACTGTTCCCGAGGGTCCTTGCTCCCTGCTTGCCATTCTGATGCCTTCTCAGGAAGCAGCCAGATCTGAGAGGCACTCCCCTCCCCATTGTCCACCTGCTGCAGGTGGGGTGAGGACTGGGAGGCCTGGGCCCTTCATCTAGCCCTACCACCTTTCTCCTGCAGGACAGGGACACCCACCTCACCCTTCTGGTCCCAAGTTCACCACAAGTGCAGCATAGGGGTTGGCCAAGGACTCGGTGATCCCTCAGATTCCATAGCAGCTGGAATGTTCCTAACCCCTGCAGTTTCAGCCCACACCCCTCCTCCTCCTGGAATGCCCCTTGTACATTGACTCTACCTCACGGTCATACTCACCAGTATTGTAAGGACACTTTGGGTTGGAAATATGGTCTTTCCGTATTAGAAATGTTGGACACTTTATAGCATCATTCAGATTTGCTGAAAATCACAGAATGTGAGAAGCACATTAAGGTGAAGCATCAGAGAAAGCTTCATAACAGTAACAGCAGCTGATTGCTTGCTGAGCAACTGTTGTGTGTCAGGCGCCACTGGTTTTTTTTTTTTTTTAATTTATTTTTGGTGATGCTTATATAGTTGAGGATAGATGCCCATGTGGAACACTGATTAGGGTGGAAGGGGTCGAAGAATGGGGGAAAGTAAGACCATTGTTTCTGATTTTTTTTTTTCTTCCTGTATCTGGAGAAAGGGAGAAGAGAAGGGGAGAGGGCTGCTCCCAGCAGCCTAACCACATCAGTACCTAGGGATGTGGAATGGCCACTTGATATCATCCTAGGGTCCCCAATGTGGAGCATGTTCTGAGGTTACTGCTTAAGTGGTTTTCACAGTTGTGATTTCATTGCTCCAAGGTTAAGGAAATCCTTCCAAGGTCTGACACAGTCCCCCTTAGAGTCTGCACTCACCCAGATACTCGCTGTCAGAGCTTAGCTGGGAGAGCTATCCAACAGTCACTGTTCTAAGTGCTAATACTGATTCTCCACAAACAATGAAGGAGGCACTATTGCCACAATCTTCACTTTCGGGCTGGGGAAACTGAGACAAGGAGAGATGGAACAATTTCTCCAAGGAGCACACAACTAAAAGGTAGTGCCAATGGCACCTTGACTCAGGAGGCTTTGTCAAGTATAGAGCATGCGCAAGCTGCCAGGAGATGTTGTCACCATTCCCAAGTGAAGTTGGAGAGCTCTGACAGCTCTTGCTTTGAAATGTTCCGGCAGAGGTGGCTGGCACTGGCCAGGGTACTAGTTGGGTTCTCTGATGTGGGCTCTGTGAAGAGAAATGACTTGCTCAAAGTCACATAGAGGATTCATGTTCAAGTTCAAGCTAGGAGTGGAGAGCACAAGTGTCCCAGAACAAGAGTCTACCAAGCCAAAGAACACTGCTTCCTGGGACTGCAAAGGGAATCACTGTGCAGACAAACTAACTGGGCTCCCAAGGGCAGCACGGCAGGCCCTCCTCCTTCAGGTCCCTCATCCACAGTTTCAGCCAATGGCAGGTAGAAAGCGTGGTTAGGCTTTTGATGGTTACCTCTGTCCTGAACTTACACAGAATTCTTTTTCTTATCATTATTCCTTAGGCAACAGAATAGAGCAACAATTTGCATAATATTAGGAATTATAAGTACTCTAGAGATGATTTGAAGTACACAGGAGGATGGGCACAGATGATACGCAAATGCCATGACATTTTACCAAGGGGCTGGAGTGTTTGCCATCTGCAAGTCTCCCTGGAACCAGTCCCTGGCATCTAGGGACACTTGGGCATTCTAGCTAAGTGGGTGACATGACTTAAATCCCTTTTTTTTGTAGTTCAGCTGCCCATAAAGGGAATAGTTAGACTGGAAAACCTGGTAGTCTCTTCCAGATCTTTCTGTTAACCACATTTACAGCATCCAGGGGAGTAGGTTTTCTTCTAAGCCATTCTGTTTGTGCTGATCATTTGGCTCCAGAGTAATCACTTTCTTCAGAGGCACGGCACTTGGGGGACCCTGCTTAGAGTACTCCTTGACAACATCTCCCCTTGATGGGGGTCTCCAGAGTCTGTCACTAATGATTCAGAATGTTTAGAAAAAGGTCATCTTGACATTTCTGGCTGGGCTGGGTTTGTTCTCTTTCCTTTTCCTTTTATGATTTTTTAAAGATTTATTTATTTTTATATGAAAGGCAGATTTACAGAGAGAGGGAGAGACAGAGAGGGAAAGATCTTCTATCCGTTGGCTCACTTCCCAAACGGCCGTAATGGTTGAGGCTGAGCCAATCAAAAGCCACGAGCCAGGAGTGTCTTCTGGGTCTCCCACATGGGTGCAGAGTCCCAACACTTTAGGCCATCCTTAACTGCTTTCCCAGGTAATAACCAGGGAGCTGGACCAGAAGTGGAGCAGCCAGGAAAAGAATTGGTA